TATTTCCAAACCTTGTGCTGGGAACCTTGAAAAAGAAATCTCTCATTCAAAATATAGTGGCTATGATGAACAGTTGTGAATAAATGGTTAATTCATTAATTCATTCACCTGCTATTAGTTGAGCACCTGCTATATGCCAGGTACTGTGCTAGTCGTGGGGGATATAGAGGGAAAGAAAGATGCATCCCTGTCCTCACGGAGCATATAAAAAAGATTGAATTTTTTCCCTGTCATGTTTTTACTGAGGAATTGCTGCAAACTGGATTATGATTACTCATGGAGCAGATGGCAATTTTCTCCCCATCTGGGGCAGTTCTAAAGAATAGACCCTTGTGTGTCAATAGATAAGATTTCTTCCAGTTCTAAGCTATCGTGATCTATGGTCTAATAGTAGAAACAGGATGTGTGCTTCCAAAAAGATGTTATACTTGAATTACTTTTTATAAAAGGCAACAGAGCTGTTGCCTGTTAATTCAGAGGGAATTGGATTCTTTCTGTCTCTTTAAATAATTCCATTTCAGTTCCTTTGGCTCTTCTTCTCTGCTCACCTTCTAATGCTCAGTCCCACCCCCTCTTACTCTCACTTCCCTTTCTTTCCTTTAATGACTGAGACAAATCGCTTCTCTCCAAGTGGCTACGCCTGATATCTCCAGTTGGAGGCTTCACCGTTAGGTTACTTTTATCACATTCCAAAGGACACATACACCGTTCCTCCTCTTTTTCATTTCCATATTTCCATCAGCAGTGTCCTCACCCTCCCACACTTTCACATTGGAAAGCCAGAAGTCCTGTTTGCTTCTTTAAAAATTAAGTTCCAACCCCGAAATCGGTTCGTTGTTGTTGTTTTATCTCTTTCAAAATACCTCCTAATGTACACGCAGTCTTAATTCTAACACATATCACCCCAAATCTAGTCAATTGCAAATCAAATTTCCTTTCTTTGCCTAAATGCTTACAGAATAAAGTGCCTGTTCTTTTTTATTATTAAAGTGTGGCTAACATACAGTATTGCATTAGTTTCAGGTGTACAACATATTTATTCAACATTTACATACCTAATGAAGTGATCACCATGATAAGTGTAGTAACCATCTGTCACCGTACAAGTTATTATGCTATTATTGACTGTATTCCCTATGCTGTACGTTATATCCTTGGGACTTCTTTATTTTATAACTGGAAATTTTTTCACCCACTCCCCCTCCCCTCTAGCAATCATCGGTTTGTTCTTTATATATATGAGTCTATTTCTGTTTGGTGTTTGGGGTGTTTTTTTTTTTAGATTCTACATATAAACAGAATCCTAAGGTATTTGTCTTTCTCTGTCTGACATATTTAACTTAGCATAATACCCTCTAGGTCCACTCATGTTGTGGCAAATGGAAAAAGATTTCATTCTTTTTATGGCTAATATTCATATATATATATATATATATCACATCTTCTTTACCTGTTCATCTTTTGTTGAATACTTAGGTTTCTTCCATATCGTGGCTGTTGTAAATAATGCTGCAAAGAACATAGGGGTACATGTAGGGTTTTCATGTTCTTCTGATCGATGCCCAGAAGTGGAATTGCTATGTCATATTATAGTTCTGTGTTTAATTTTGGAAGGTCCTTCACACTGCTTTCCGTAGAGGCTACACCGGTTTACAGCCCACCAAAGGTACGCATGGGTTCCCTTTTCCCCACATCCTTGCCGACACTTGTCATTTGTTTTGATAATGGCCATTCTGACAAATGCGAGGTGATATCTCATTATGGCTGTGATTTGCATTTCCCTGTTGATTAGTAATGTTAAGCATCTTTTCATGTGTCTGTTGGCCATCTGTATATCTGTTTTGGAAAAATGCCTGTTCAGGTCCTCTGCTCATTTTTTAATCAGACTGGCTGTTTTTTTATGTTGACTTGTATGAGTTCTTTATATATTTTGCATATTAACCCTTTACCAGGCATATCATTTGCAAATATCTTCTCCCATTCAGTGGGTTGCCTTTTCATTTTGTTCATGGTCTTCTTCGCTGTGCAAAAGCTTTTTGGTTTGATGAAATCTCATTTGTTTATTTTTGCTTCTGTTGTCCTTGCCTGGGGAGACATATCCAAAGAAAGTGTTACTCAGACGGCTATCAAACAGTTTACTGCTTATGTTTTCTAGTTTTATGGTTTCTCCTCTTACATTTAAGTATTTAATCTGTTTTGAGTTTAATTTTGTATGTGGTGTAAGAAAGTGGTCCACTGTGTGTTTTTTCATGTTGCTGTCCAGTTTTCCCAACACCATTTATTGAATAAACTGCCTTTTCCCCATTGTATTTTCTTGCCTCCTTTCTTGTAGATTAACTGACCATACAAATATGGATTTCTGGGCACTCTACTCTGTTCCATTGAACTATGTATGTTTTTATGCCAGTACCATACTGTTTTGATTATTACAGCTTTGTAATATAGTTTGAAACCATGGTGCCTCCAACTTCATTCTTCTTTTTCATGATTGCTTTGGCTATTTGGGGTCTTTTGTGCTTCCATAGAAATTTTAGGATTATTTGTTCCAGTTCTGTGAAAAAGGCCATTGATATTTTGATAGGGATTGCACAGAATCTGTGGATTGCTTTAGGTAGTATGGACTTTTTAATGATATTAATCCTCTAATCCATGAGCATGCCCTATCTATTTATTTGTCTTCTTCCATTTCTTTTATAAATGTCTTACAATTTTTAGAGTATAGGTCTTTCACCTCCTTGATTAAATTTATTCCTAGATATTTTAACTTTTTTCATTCAGTACTAAATGGGATTTTCTTCTTAATTTCTCTTTCTGAATGTTCACTATTAGTGCAGAGAAACGTAACTGATTTCTGTACATCAATTTTGTATCCTACAACTTTACCGAATTCATTTATTAGTTCTAATAATTTTGGGGCGGCGTCTCCATTTATTAACTATAATAGCAATAATAACAGTAGCCGATCACATTTACTTAGCAATTATAATGTGACAGAAACCAGGCCAAACATTTGATGTGTATTATTTTATTTAATTCCTACAAAAGCTCTATGAGGTAGGTCATATAGTCGTTCCATTTTACTGATAAGGAAAGTTAAGATTATTCACTCAGGGACGTGCAGCATGTACTCAGGGCCAGTAGGCATTCTCATTTATTCTTTTCTCTCTGTCTCTCTGTCTGTCTGTCTGTCTCTCTCTCTCTCTCACTCACACACACAACTAGTCATTAAGCAAATATTTGCTACACTTACTACGTGGAGGTTTCAGTGCATCCTGCAGGAGGGAGGGTGGGAAAGGAGAGATAAGCGAGGAATGGTCCATGCTGTCAAGGAGTTTACAGTCCATTGCAGGAGATACTCATGTCCATAGAACTAAAATGAATGATGCAAGTACTTCAAGTATAAGCCATGTGCTGTGAGAATGCTGAGGAAGCCATCACTTCTAGCCTGGGGAATTGGAAAGTAAGCATAAAAACATATAAAAGCCTTGAACTGGGAGAGAGGGGGAATAGAGCATTCCAGAGAGAAGGAGCAGCATGAACAATAAGTGGTATATTGGATGGAATATCACAGGACAGGTGGGTAGTTTGGCTGGGAGTGCAAGGTCCCAGGCTGGGAAGGTAGCTTTGAAATGTTTCTCATGCTTTTCTGTGCAAACCCTACGTTTTTTTGTAACTCCACTTGGTTTTCCAAATATTTGGTCCAAGCAAAGATGGGCAAGGCTAGGGAGAAAGTGAACAAAGGAGATTGTTCTGGATCTATGCTAGGCACTTGATTGATATTGGAAGGTTAGAGTTGGCTTTGGACCAGACTACTTGAGCCACTTTTCTGATAAGTTTAAGATCTATTTTGCCTTTTGGGAATTATCCACAGCATAAGAGCAAACCCACTCAAGTTCTGGTGGCCCTGGGCACAAATAGACCAACCCCTAGCTTAGCATGAGCAGTTCAGAACCAAATCAAGATCCATTGTCATGGAGCTAGGATGTGGATGTGTGGGGCCACCACTAATACGTGGTTGGCAAAATGCCAGATGACAAAGTATACCATTTCACCCATAAAATTCTTCCTTTGTTTCCCTGCCCAGAATAGAATTTACTAAGCTATCAGGACACTGTGTCAATATATTGTAGAACAACCTAATAAGAAAAAAATGGTAATTTTTATTCCATACCACCTAAAGATATACTTCCTAGTAATTTCCAAGTCCACTAAGAACTAAAATCTGAAAATTTCTTTCATTTTACTATCAACCCTGTAAATACCATAAATGTAAGCCTTGCCTCTACTTCTTTGGTACTTAAGCACTAATCAATTTGGTTATTTGTTAGCACTGATTAGTTATGGCTCAATGATTCACTAATTCTCAATATTATTCCAAAAAACATCAGTCAAAAACAATAAACTTGCTTGGCCAGCATGGCTCAGTGGTTGAGCGTCAACCTATGAACCAGGAGGTCATGATTGATTCCCGGTCGGGGCACAGGCCTGGGTTGAGGGCTTGATCCCCAGTAGGGGGCGTGCAGGAGGCAATAGACTTAGTCAAAGACTAAGACAAAATATGTCACTTCTGAGGTCCTTTAGTCACCTGGTATCATAGCGAATGGCAACCTCCCTAACCTTTTTATGAGAGATTTAGAGTTTGCATTTTTGTTGGTTCTAATTGGAGCGGTAGTTCATTAGTGGCTGCCAATGAGCATTTAGAAAGATCTCATTTTAACACTGTCCAGAGAGCACATCTTTTTTGCGTGGCCTTGGTTTGATAAAAATGGGTCTTAGAGGCCACATACAATAAGTGGAAATTAAAATCAGGGTTATAAATTGTTGCTTTAGTGTCCCAGCCTTAGAGGCTCAGAAGATCTTAGCAGAAGCGATACAGTGTTTTAATTGTTCCTCATTACATGTGATGAGAGCACATCATTTCTCGCCTGTCTTCCTCCCAGGTGGCCGTTGAGGACCGCATCAGGCAACTGCACGAAGCTCACAGAGACTTTGGCCCGGCGTCCCAGCACTTTCTTTCCAGTAAGTCGTTGTCAGCTTTCATTGCTTAACCTCTCCATTGCATCTTGGTGGCTAAGAAATGAGTTGAATTACAATCATCTCTGCTAAATGCGCTGGAGGCATAAATCATCCTGAGAGATAACGTGGTGGGCGAATTCAGAAGGTTAGGAAGAGGAGGACCAGGTAGATCATTTTGTCCAGCCTTCAGCTAACGCATAATTGTTTCCTGCAATGTATTCTCAAGTGCGGACTTGGGGAATATTTTTCAGTCTTTGGTTCTGCTTATAGCAGTTCACTTCATACGGCTGGTAATTATGCTATCATATAATTATATGATAATTCAATATGTGCTTCTGTGAATCTATAATTCTTTATCTCTATTTAATTTATTAGATACTCACTGCCTCCAAGTTGGAACCTCAGCCTGTTGTTTCCTTTCCCTAACCCTTTTTTTAATTTTTTTTTTTTTTTTTAATTTCAGAGAGAGGAAGGGAAAGGGAGAGAGAGAGAGAAACAT